GTGGCTTTTTTGTGCTTTTATTCTCTTGTTGTGAGCTCTTATTATCTTGTTGAGAGTTTGTATTCTCTACTTATGAGAGTTTTTCTAGTTTCTTAGTGTTTGTGCGTTTTGTTTGTTCTTGGTTGGTTCTAAGCTACTACTAGATTCAATTAGATTCAGCTGGATGGCTGATTTATTTGGTTAGTTAGCTCTTGTCAAATATGTAGTTGTGTGTTGTTTTATTTGTAAAGTCTATCGTTCTGGAAAAAAAGTGAGATCTGCGCTCTTCCCCTCTTCCAAAATGTTTTTCGTTATTCCAGTGTTGCTCTTGGCGCTGCCCTAGTTTTTTTTGCCTTATGATTGGTTGAGGTGGCTTCATCCTTGGTGGGGTCCACGGCCTTCTCATGCTCAAATTGGAGCATCATTGGATGAAGATTGCACGGAGAGTTGGTGCATGTTGAGGGAGGAAAGAATCCTCCCCTCGCAGTCGGCTTGAATTTAGTCTTATTTGTCTTTTAGAAGGAAATCAACTTGTCCACAAAGGTGGTACAAACGCAACGTTATAAAAGTCGTCAAGCACTCGCTAGGCGGTGAATTGGGGCCTAACGTCTAGCAGTCGAGAAAATAACTAATAAATTTATTTCTATTTGTCATTGTGCATAAGTTATAAGATATAATACAGAACATATTAATTATTATGGTCGAATATAAAGATTATGCAAAATCTAAGCATTCATAATTTTGTATTAATTATGAAATAATTATTAATATTTTTATTATATAATTAATAAATTTCATGTGTAAAAATTATAATTATTTTTTTTATTCTTTAAAAAGGTAAATTAAAAAATTTGAAAAAATATACGCGCGCCTACCTTCACAACCGCCTAACCCGCCTAGGCACTGCCTAATCGTTGGAGAGCCTTGAACGGCCGCCTAGGCAAAAGTCGTGACGCCTAGGTGGGCACCTAGGCCCTAGGCTGACTTTTAGTACAAAGTTCAAACATTGAATAAGCAACCTATAAGGCTCCAACTTTTTATTTGTCAAAAGTACCAAATAAAATACAACTTTAGTTTGATTGCTGGGAAGTGATCCAAACTTAGCTTCATTCGTATCGTGCACCCTCGTGGGGTCGAGTGGCTTTCGCTCGAACAAATGGATAAAACTTGGTCTTAGTTAGTGTATAAGAGGTTTTTCCAAGTCTTGGATTTGGCATTACCCTGGACTTGCATAACTTCTAAAAGTTATGAGGTTAGGATTCATGTAATGGAGAAACCCCACTCTCTTAATCCCTTGCTTCAAATCTTGATTGAACTTCGCTTCACTTCGTTTTTACCGTGGAAAAAGAAAGAGAGAAGAGCGGATTCTCTAGCACCGGTTACTGAATCATCATAGTGGCAATGCCGCCAACTGCGGTTTAGTGAATACTTACCGAATCCGAATGTACCGGCTATTCCCCATCATGTCCAGCTCCTAGGATGAGAGCCTTTATTGCATCAACAACTTATTCAATTGCGAGTCCTCCAGCTTACGGATGAAGTTCCCTTTCAAAGAGTCTGGTATTTCACAATAAATTGATAGACAGAACTGTCATGAAGCAACTTATTACTAGATTCATAGTGAACTTCAGAACGGCATATACATCGCACATCCTGGATCAAGTAAAGGCGTTGGGTTTTCAACAAGCTACTGTGGAATCTATTTAGAATTCATGATCTTTTAACAATACCCTCAAAGAGATGGCTAGTTCAAGATGCTACTTAGATTTTGGAAAAACACCAGAATGTACATCATACATCCAAGAGAGAAAAATTGCGCCATGCCATTTCAATATGGTATGCAACAAGTAATNTTCAAGTAGAATAAGATACAACCAGAGGCTAAATATCGAGAAAGAAATATAAAGAAGATAGACTATGAGGTACATTAACAACAAGTGCCGTATCTCAAAACAACCAAAAAAATGAATGAAAATCTAGTCGTGTAAGATACTTACTGTGATCACGCAGGGGATAAGGTGTCGAATGACCATAACTCCTTCAGACGCAAGAATATATTTTAAGTTTCAATAAAGGCAATTTCCTATTGTGGTTTCTTATGCAATGACGGTTAATAAGATTCAAAAGCAATCCTTATTAGGGATGACAAAACGACCTGGACCCGGTCCAACCCGACCCTACCCGAAGCGTTTGGAGCAGACCTGGCCTTTTTTGTAAAATGAGTCGGGGCGGGTACGGCCCGTAAGAAAAACGGGCCAGTTCTAGGTCCTACCTATTGCCCCGGCTCGCCCCGACCCGCCCGGATGTTTTATATATTTATTTATATATATAGGCCTCATTTATTTTGTGTGATGGGATAAGACAAAATAATCAAGATAACTTTACACGTCAGCATTAGTCCACTATTTACATTAAGGGATTAACAAGTCTAAAATTTGTCTTATGTTTACTATCATGGACAAATTTATAGGATAAAAGTTAAATGCCCAATTTACCCTACATTGTGAGCCAGGTGAAAGCCTTCTTTTTCTTTTTTCTTAGGCATGAGATGCCGTTACTTCTTTCTTGCTGGGATGAAGAACCCAACCCCATTCCAAACTCGACAACCAGAGACAGATTTTCTCTTTTTAGCTAATTTTTTTCAAAAAAAGACGGGGTTTATGTTCCTTACTACTTTCACAAAATTTGTCTTCACTCCTCAGTTCGCAAAATTCATCTGCCCCTCTTTACCAATTACCGTCGAGACCGAACCCTAATCAACCCAAAGCAGTCGTCGACAACGGGGTCCGATCCCCTCTTTCCAAAATTCCGTCGAACCCTTCTTTTATTTGCGACTACGAGGTCCACCGAGATTTTCAGGCGTGGAAGAATGGCGACAAAAGATTTTCAGGCGAGGTCCACCCGATAAGAAGGTTAATCGGGAAACACACAAAAAGTAAAAAATGTGACATCAGAGCTTACAAATCTTGGCGACGGAGTGGACGATGCTAGGTTCAGTGTCCCTCTGCTTCCCGAATTGCACGATTTAGGGCAAGAATAACAGTGAAACACATTTTTATATGGGATGCATTTGTAATGTTTAGGAGTATTTATGTCTTTTTCCTAGCCCCTTATGAGGACAAAATAGACATATTCAAATCGGGATAAAAAATCCGGATGGGAGGGTGGGATGGAAGTTATTAGCGAATAAATGATATGTGTGAGGGCCCCGCTGCCACATGCGTGCCACGTCAGTTGAATCCTATCCTAATCATTTAATGGAAATATCAGATATTAGGGGATAATTTTAGTTATCCTGTCCTATCACTCAAAGTAAACGACCCAATAATATATAAAGTATGTACTTAATCGAAAATGCTCACGTGTCCACGGTGGGCACATGTTAATATACCCACCACTTATATGACATGCACATATTGGTGATGTATTTTTTTTAGCATATTAACATCACCATGTAACATGTGCGGTGGGCATGTGACAATCCCGCCTCTTCTCTTCTTCTGTCTGTGAAACCCTTCGTTCGTGCGCCACTCGCCACTCCCGTCTCCCTCTCTCAAATTCACGGTATTCACCAACCGGTTGAGCCCACCACCACCAGGCAGTCGCCAGTCAGGCACCAGCCACCAGCTGCCGTCGGACCGTCCTCCTCGGCCCTCTGTCTCTGTGAAATCGCGCCTCCCCGTTTTTGAGACACAGCCTCTGACTTCTCGGCGCTTCCGACGCCTCGCCGCCTCGACGCCCCGTGTCCCCCGACTCGACGCTACTCCACTGAAGATTTGAAGGTAATTAGTAATTACTACATTTGGAAAAATAAATTAAAGATTGGGTTTTATCTTTGAATTAGGTTTATGATCTTATAGTCATGAGAAATGCTGAGTTGATGGTGAAGCAGAGGATTTTTGGGTGTTACTTTGTTAAATCTGTTCATTTAACTTGGATTTAGATAATAAATTCATCTCAAGAAATTTTAGGTGCAATTGTGTGCTTTTAACTATTTATAAGCAAGTGACAGACTTTTGTGCTCTGGCTGTATTCAAAACATTCATACTGTAACCTGCAGTAATGACATAAAAACAAGTAAACAACACATAGCAAAATCTGTCCAAGTAAACAACCAATGTTGTAGGCCAAAAAAGGCGCGGGCCAGGTGGCCGGGCGACCTTCCTTGACCCGTGGCGGGTCACGGGCCAGGTCGGGTCGTGGGGCAGGTCCGGGTACTGAACTACCCGGCCCGACCTGCCCCATTGCCACCCTAATCCTTATCGTATGTTTGGTTTATTCCTGAGTATGTTCATGGCCAGTCGCGCGTCACCAACAGAAAAGGTTTCAAAATTCTAATATGTAGTGAACATGACTTGCCACCAAATCAAACCGAAAATACTGTGTACAAAGAAGTTTCTAATAATACATATTTTTTTATTGTTTGTATTTGTTTTATTTTGTTATTAAATTTATATTTAAAATAAAACCCACCGTGCATTGCTTACGTACTGGTTACACGAAAGTAAAGTGAGCTCGGTGCGAAAGCCACCCGCGACAATATTTTTGCCGTCACAGATAAAAACCCTAACCCCTTTATCAACCTAAAATTCCAATTTTTAGGAACAGATACGAAAATGTCGGTTATGATCGTGACAAGCTTGGGTGACCTGGTGATCGATTTGTTCGCAGATAGATGCCCATTGACCTGCAAGAATTTTCTGAAGCTGTGCAAGTAGGTTTCTAAACTTTTAGAAAGCAGCACATTGTCTGCAATCTGGCGATTTTTTTTTTTTCAACATAGCAATAAATAATTTGAGTTTACGGATTATGATAATTGATAACAATTTACTATGTTCTCAGTTGGATTATCTTGTGTTGGAGTTATATTGACTCGTTTGCACTTTTTAAGGTTGTGCATATTTGATATTGAAACTTGAGTCTGGTACCAGCTGTTTTTCTGTTGGCTCATTTTTTGAAACTGGATTTATTGTTAGCTTGAAGTTTTATTTTTATTTATTTATTATTTATTTTTGTGGAGAATGCTTGTAGACTTATTTGATGCATTCATTCAGTTTGAAGAAAAACTACCAATTTGATATTCTGTTGACATAAACCATCTCAGAGGACAACCCTTTATGCTAAACAAACTTGTTTAAACTTTGTAAGGGAGAATATATTGGACGAGATTTGATCTTATGTTATTTAACTTTCTATTGCAGAATCAAGTATTATAATGGATGCCTCTTTCACACGGTGCAGAAAGATTTTACTGCACAGACGGGTGATCCTACTGGTACAGGATCTGGTGGGGATTCTGTGTACAAGTAAGATTTTTTTTTTTCTATTTTTTTACTTTAATGGATACATATAAAGCCAATAACTGTGATATATTAGAGCTGTGTTTTCCAGTTTTTAATGCATGCCTGATCTAACTTCTTTAGGTTAATCATATAATGTTGTTATTATTATAATTATTAATTTGGTGATTGTCAAACTTCTTTTTGATTTTCATGCGTGGTTGTAAAGCTTGTCATTTACCTTGCAGTTCTTTAAGTATTGCCAAGGTTTTGAATATTTCATCTTGCTTTGTGATGTATGACCCTTTCGATGCATGCGATTTCAGATTTCTGTATGGAGATCAAGCTCGCTTTTTCAGTGATGAGATTCGTTTGGATGTAAAACATTCAAAGATGGGGACAGTGGCCATGGCTAGTGCTGGAGAGAATTTGAATGCTTCTCAGGTATGGCTGCATATGTTCTTTTTATCAGAAATAGTCTTTCTGGTCAAACAGTAAGATGTTCCTCTTGCCCGGAAGAGGTTTTGTCTCAATGTAATTTGTTTTGTTTTTTTTTTTTTTTTTTTTTTTCTTATTTGATTTNAGTTCTATGTCACACTGCGGGATGATCTTGATTACCTGGATGGGAAACATACTGTGAGTTTTCTGATCTACTATTCTCCTCACAGTTTATTATATATTGTTTCGCTTTCAGTTTCTCGCACGGATATGCATAACATCTCTGTAAGCAACAGATGCATCTAAATCTCCCAGTCCCAGCATGACTGGAGAAGTCAAGAGAATAGACTCTGAAACTAGAATACTTAGTTAAGATTTTGTATATATATCCTTCAGGTTTTTGTCTCAGTGGTTTTTCCAATGTGATATTCACTGTTAGATTAAATACACTTAATAGACAATGTCACTTTCCTAAGAAGGCTAAGGCAGAAATATAAAACTACATAAAAAGGCGTTGACCATTGACACTTAATGTAACGAGGGTTTCATGATGTAAACTTGGAAATTATAATACAAAAGATGTAAAATACATTAACTTTCTCGAGGCATTTGTGCTGTACGAGCACAAAGTTCTTCTAAGGATAGTATCCGAACAGCCTACTCGCCGAACACAGTTAATTCCCAAAAGCACCCTCTCCATAACAGTAGTATTGACTTTAATGACAAACTAACCCTAATGGGTGTCCCGTGTCCTAACCCTACCAGCCTAAGTCTTACTTAGATGCTACATAGTTACACTAAAATGAATTAATGTTGTCTTCTCCTTTGAACTCTGTCCGATAATGCATAATGTAAACTTAGGTGTCTTTTGTTGGTTGCATCCCATAACAGACGTATGATGATTAAAGAGTTCAGTTCAAAAATTGTTATGCTATTATTATTTTGATCTGAAGGTATTTGGGGAGGTTGCTGAAGGGATCGAAACCCTTACTAGAATAAACGAAGCCTATGTGGATGAAAAGAGCAGACCCTATAAAAATATTAGGTTGGATTTTTCTTGTTGCTTCTTATTTCATTTGTTCCAATAATATAGTTTTGAGTTCTTTACCTTTCTAAAATCTTAATATGCTTCAACTATGCAGAATAAAACACACATATATATTGGATGATCCCTTTGATGACCCTCCACAACTAGCTGATTTGATCCCAGATGCTTCACCAGAAGGAAAACCAAAAGATGAAGTAAGGAATTACTCTCGACTTTTTTGCTTGTAAATTGTCTCATGCAGCCGACAGCTGACTTTTCTGCTTTCTTGTATATATATGTATATATTTATTAGATGGATTTAAGGAAAGGTCAATTAGATAGCTAAATGATCGGAACTGATGATTAGGTATCTTCCTAGAATTTTCTTTTGTATCTTTCTGGAAATTGACAATTTCAGCTTGCTACAGTGGGTTGATACATGAATACTATTTATATGCTGGATTTAGCATTTATATCAAGATTTAATCATGTCCGAAATTGATCATGTGTTAGGCTGAACTGAACTACAGTTTTTAGATGAAAAAATTGGTGGAAGTTCTGATGTAACTTGAAAAAATTGGTGGAAGTTCTAATATATCTTTTATTCCTCATCTAGAGTAGAGATACTTAAAAATTATTGTTGGCTCAATTTATTGCACAACTACCAGGGCCTAATGTTATTGCTATTGTTCACAGTTCAACTCATTTTTGTATTAAGTACTTTCAGCCATTTCTAGCTGCAATTGCCATTCAGACTCATTGGCTCTATATATCCCATTCATAGGTTGATGACGATGTGAGACTAGAGGATGACTGGATCCCTTTGGATGAGCAACTTAATCCACATGAGTTGGAGGAGGTGTTGCGTGCAAAGGATGCTCATTCTCGTGCAGTAGTGCTGGAAACTGTAAGGATTCTATATACCATCAATACACGTGACATTCCACAACAGATACATATTTTCTGGCCTGATATGCGAAAATGAATTCACTGTTTATTCTTATGCCACAGATAGGAGACATTCCTGACGCTGAGATAAAACCTCCTGATAATGTGCTTTTCGTGTGTAAATTGAATCCTGTAACTGAAGTAAGTGGATGCCCACAGTCATTTTATATTTACATGGATCAGGATTTTGTTGATACTTGGTCCTGAACTTCCACTAAGATGGACCTGATTTGGTTTGGCATGTATTGCTTTATTTGATGTAGGATGAGGACTTGCATACAATTTTTTCTCGTTTCGGAGTTGTAACATCGTAAGTCTGTCAAGTGCTTGGCCTGTTTAATTCTTCTTCCTTCATAATTTTTCTTAATTTCTTCACGTGTTTTCATTGTTTGATTACCATTAACAGAGCTGAAGTTATCCGGGATCACAAAACTGGGGACAGTTTGTGCTACGCCTTCATAGGTATGATTGTTCTTCTTATGGAGTTGCTTTCTAAAACCCTGATACACGTCTTCAGCTTCATTATATATTTAGATTCCATCTATTGATTAAATGTTTTTTGTGCTTGTACAGCATAAGTTAGCCCTGTTCCATGTCATTCCAAAATCTGCGTCAGGTTATTTTTTGAGTGAACAGCATAACTAATTGATCGACTTTCTACTGTGGGAGTCTATACAGGAAGCATTTATGCTTAACATGTTGTGAATTGAATTTTGTTTTTGTTTTTGTTTTACGAAATTTTCAAATGGGACTGCTTATGAAAATTAAGATTTATCTAGTTGTATTTTCACTTTGTCTCTGGAGAAAGTTCAACTGCTAAAATTTCCTGGTAACTTTTTCTTTTGGCGAATCAGAAGGCCTGGCATGTGTTAAAGCATAACTAGAAATTGAATACCCCTCGGAAATTTGATAGTTTTTGGTGAGCGTTTTTCATAGATGTGTCTTTATTAGTACAAACCTGTGATCTATCATTGCCTTACTTATATTTTGTCTAATCGTGTGGCAGAATTTGAGGACAAAGACGCCTGTGAACAAGCATATTTTAAGGTATTATCAAATAACTCTAGAATTTTGTCCCGTGAGTTCTCCCCCTAAACATGTAGATAATATTCTCCTCTTTCAGTTGCTGCAATTTGTTTCTCTTGGTATTGCATGTATGTTTGCTGAATTTATATTTTGAGTGAGTTGGGATCGTGTAAGTAGTAAATGCATCTATTGTATAATAAGTTATATGATGCTGTATGTTACTGTATTTAACTTGGAATGTAATATGAAGATATAATTTAGGCTGCAGCGGATATAAGAATTTTTCAAAATATTGTCTATAAACAACTTTTTTCACTTTTTATCTCATTTTCCAGGCAAGGAAAATTTTTTCTGTGAACACTATGGATTGACTTTTCAGTGAAGTAATAGAAAATCTGAAGTCAATTGCTCATACTTGTGTTTTATTCCATTGCAGGTATATTTTAGCTATGACCATTAGCATGTTGCTAAAATGATTATCAATTAATAAGCTGTTAATAGGAATGCTGAACTTTTTTAGCTGACGTCCGCATCATTTTGTACTCATGAAGTAATTTTTTTGTCCACATATTTTTCAGCTTGAAATCTTACTATTTTGTTATAATAAATATTCAGTAATTTAAGATTTAATGAATTAGCAAGCTAACAACCTGTAGTTCGTTCGGAGGAATGCATGTTCTATGCCGTAATCCTGTGTGGTAATCACCTTTGTTTATGTGCCTAAAAATTTTCTCATCAACTCTCATCAGGATTCTACAATCTGTATAAAATTATTGTTGGCTATCTAAATTACAGATGGATAATGCTCTAATTGATGACCGGAGGATTCACGTTGATTTTAGTCAGAGTGTTGCAAAATTATGGTCCCAGTACAGACGCAAAGGTCAAGGTACACTCTTTGGAATCTTGCCCTCTTAATTTTTTTTAGAAATGCTTTAATTTTTTTTTACATTTTTTTCATAAATTTATTTTATGGTTTGGTGTCAAACTGTTCGACATGAGTTTGCCTCATGTGTTACCTTTTGAGGGTACATCAATTGAATGAACATCACCTGTACTATTTGTTCCAGCAAAATTTAAAATCCGATTCAGTGTATTGTACTTATCATTTTTGCAGGAGGAGGTTGCTACAAATGTGGTTCTGTCGACCACATGGCCAAGGACTGTACGGGAGATTCTACCTCTAAGCACTCACAGTCCAAATACACGCTAAAAGACGATAATATCCAACGTGGTGGAGATAAAAAGACGAGGTAGTAATGTATTTCGTAACACTGGAAAATCTTCCTCCAAAAAAAAAAAAAGTCATATTTATGCCCTAAAAAGTTTCCTCACATTTTATCTTTCAGGTACGAAATGGTTTTCGAGGAAGATAATGGCAGAGAGCCTAAACATAGCAAGAGGAGAAGAGACCACAAACCCGGACATGAGGAAAAACGAGACAGGCATGATGAGCCGAGACACTATGAAAGCAGTCACAAGCAAAATGAAGAATATGTTGGGCGTAAAAGAAGCCCAGAGATAAATAGATCGGGTGAAAGAAGAAAACCAAGTGCCCGTGATAATAGAGATGAAAGAGAGCAGAGAAGAGGACACGACAAAGGGTACATAAGGAGCCATGGAGAAGAGAGAGATTACGGTAGCGGCCGTGGGGAAAGGAAAAAGGAATATGAGAGTAGAAAAAAAAGTGAGGATGAATATGTTCGTGGGAGTCAGAGAGATAGGCGTGGTGTTGAGGATGATAGTTACGGTCATAGGAGACTGGATGGAGAGTGGCATTCGGATAAGCGGAGTTCTAAAAGGTGATATGACGATTTTCTTCATGATCGTGTGGCAATTTGATTGTGATCCAATATCTGTAGTTGTGAGTTCTGTACGTGGCCTTTCTTTTTTGTTTGCTGAAACAAAATGATGGTACTTGCCTCTACTTGGTCTTTCCTTTCTTTATCATTTGACCAAAGATTGAACAGTAGACATAAGATTGGCTTTCTTATCAATGTGGTGGTAAGCCGTGTCAAAACTGGAGTGAAAAATGAAGACCCAAGTCCAATTCAACATTGATGAATAGATAATAGATTGATAATTTACTTCATTGATAGTTATTCAGCTTGGCATGTCTTTTATAGATTTGAAGTGTAGAATTGTGTATCTCAGTGTCTTCCATATTTTGCATCTTTTTATGATCCTGATAAATCACAATCAGAGGGAGTTTGCCGAACAAAAGGTTATACGAGATGCTATGTTCTGAAGAACTGGGCTCCATAGTGGATCACTTTCTTTTTTATAATAATTGGTTTTTTTTTTTCAACGATACAAATTTTATAAAAATTAAAACCACATAATTACAGTTAGAAATTAGCTAGAATCGCCAAGCAGTCAAACAGTTGAATCTAGTAGGCCTACCCGCAGGTAGCTTAGAAGCAATTACACTAACTCATCCACAACAAACTAAACAACTAATGTTCCCAAAGGAGAATAACAAAAGCTCTTAACAGGAAAATACACATAACGCACTCGCAATAGGAGAGAAAGAAGAAAAAACACAATTTACACACAAACACAACACCCACCTAAACCAAAAAAGTACAACTACAGCCAAACCAAGCCAACCAATGAAGGCCTCAACAGATACCCATCCAAAACGGACAAAATAAAGACCTAGAATCCAAACTAGAAACTTGCCAAATCAAACGCCTAACTGGGTCGGAAGCCAAAGGACCCAACCTACACCCCGACGGATACCCGAAAATCGCACCCGGAGATTCACACCACAAACCACCCAAACCAACCGGACAACTAGTCCAAACTTAAAATCTCAGCCCACTAGGCTAGACAGTTGAACAGCTCCGCCCAACAACAGAGACAAGAGGGACATGACGGTCGGTGGCGGAACCCTCCACCCCGGATCCCCAAAAGTACAACCCTCCGCCCAACACTGCGAAAAACATCGACATATCGGTCGCCCTCCTCGCCATCCAAGCAACCAGAGAACGGCGAGACTTAATCAGGGAATAGGGCACCGCTACGCCAGCGAGAACACCACCTCTGAGCGGAGAATCCTGGAGAAACGAGCCACGTGGCACAAGAATGCCTCGCCAACAACCTCGGACTGCCGGCGGGGCAACCAGCCAAAACACCACACATAACAGCCTCCCGAAAGCACCACCCCAAAACACCCCCAACACCAAACTGGACGAAGGCAGGCAATCACCAACAGCAATCGACTGCCTCGCCGTCGGACCTAAAGCCCCAACACCAAGGAAGCCAGAAGATCCAGGGGAAAAAGAGGCGATGAACTCTGATCCACCACAGCCACGGCAGTGGCCAGATCCAAAGTCGTCCGACTCGTCATCCAGTAGTCGAAACCCCACATCCCACCGCCACAGATGCCATGAAGAAGAGCCTCACCACACCGAGACAACTGGGGAAGGTGATTGAATGGGATCCGCATTGACACCCCAGAGAAGGGCATCACTGACCGTGGCGGTCAGAGGTGCCCGGCGAAAGGGATGTCAGCTCAAAAATTTAGGGCTTCTTCTTTATCTGAGTTGGGGAATTTACTTTATTTGGGAGCAGCAATTTGCGGCTTTCGATATGTATAAGATGCTATCATTTTTTTTTATTTTTTTTTTGATGGGTAGCGATTTTTCTGGCTGGTTACAGACTTGCCAGATGGTTTTTGCCTCCTTCCCCCACCGGTTCATGCTTCTCGAGTAGGGGATCACTCTATGTCGCTCGTTTCGGCCTTGAGGATAAGGTTCTCACTGTAGCTGACCTGCTTGCTTTCGGTTCACACTTGTTCTCAATCACTGAAGGGCTCAGACTTGTAACAACCCACGAATGAAAGTCTGAATTAAAATTTGTTACTTTTAGTTGACTGATGATCTCATTGATGAATGATGAATATTGTGTTAGGAAAGCTGTAGATGGGTGATGAAGACCGTGTATCGAATACTCGGATTATGAAAACTCGCACTAGATGGTCTCTCGGCACGCACTGGTCTCTCGACAACAGGTCTCTCAGAAACAGGTCTGTCGGCAACATTTCTCTCTGCACGCATGGGTCTCTCTGCAACAGGTCTCTCGACAACAAGTCTCTGAGAAACAGGTCTCTCGGCAACAGGTCTCTCGAAAACAGGTCTATTGGCAATATTTCTCTCTGCACGCATGGGTCTCTCGGCAACAGGTCTCTCGACAACAGGTCTCTCGAAAACAGGTCTCTCGTCAACAATTCTCTCTGCACACGAGTCTCTCGGCAACAGGTCTCTTGACAACAGGTCTCTTGGTAACAAGTCTCTCGACAACAAGTCTCTCGAAAACAGGTCTCTAGGCAAAAGGTCTCTCGGCACGCATGAGACTCTCGTCAATTGGTCTCTCGACAACATGTCTCTCAGAAACAGGTCCCTTGGAAACAGGCCTCTCGGCATGCACTGGTCTCTTGACAACAAGTCTCTCAGAAACAGGTCTCTCAGCAACCCAGAGACCTGTTTCCGAGATAACTGTTGCCGAGAGACCTGTTTCTGAGAGATCTGTTGCCGAGAGACTGCTGCGTGCAGAGAGAAATGTTGCCGAAAGACTTGTTTTCGAGAGAACTATTTCCGAGAGACCTGTTGCCGAGAGACCTGTTTTCGAGAGATATGTTGTCGATAGGCCTGTTTTTGAGAGACCCGTGCGTGCCGATAGTCATGTTTCCAAGAGACCTTATTCAGAGAGACCTGTATCAGATAGACCTGTTGTCGAGAGACCTGTTGCCGAGAGACCCGTTCGTTCCGAGAGACGTGTTGTTGAGAGACCTATTTATGAGAGACCTGTTGTTAAGAGATCTGTTGCTAAGAGACCTGTTGCTGAGAGACCCGTGCATGCCGAGAGACCTATTTCTGAGAGACCTTTTTCCCAAAGACCTGTTTTCGAGGGCTAATTTCATGTGTGTTAAATTTGGGCTCCCGAGCTAAAGTAAAAAAATTCAAAGCATCTTAATATAAAATACATTGGGCTGTGTTATACCCACTTGGGCTACAGCCCAAGTATAAATAGCAGTAAATCCGCCCCTGGTCCTAGGCCCATTTCCGACGTATGATCTGATTTTCAAAAGCCCAAAACTCTATTCCTTGCCGGCTCATCCGCTCTCACTCACTGAGTTTAGCTAGGGTTTATAGAAAGCATTTGAAGCCCCTTCTCTGGACTGTGCTCCAATGGCGAAACCTGGTCGCGGTCGCGGTCGCCAGGCGTCTCGGTCTGGCTCTGACTCTCGCTCCTCATCCCGCTCTCGCTCGGTTTCCTCCTCGGGATCGGGCTCGCGCTCGCGCTCGCGCTCAAGCTCAAGCTCGCGGTCAAGGTCCTCTTCCACTTCTCGCTCCATCTCAAGATCCTTCTCATCTTCCTCTCGTACCAGTAGCTCCCGCAGCCCTAGCCCTGCTCCTCGGAGAAAGAGGTGAGCTTTTTTAAGGTTCTACCACATTATATACAAGGTACTGCCCAGGCTAATAAAAAGAGACTATTTAGATTTCTTTATTGTTAAATGTATCATTTAAAGTTTTCTCTGGGGATGGAAAGAACCATTGTCCAAACTCTGAATTTCGGATTTTATCCTCCACTTGCAAATTCAATGATAGAATTCTAGAAATGTTATATCTAAGCAATAACTACATAATGGTTCTTCCCATTATCCTCCCTTTGCGAGTCATTGGCATTGTTAAATACCTAATTTTAGAAAGACAACCTTTTCAAATAGTATTCTCCATAAGTTCGCTCAAAGTTCTCATTTCTGATTTTTCCTGGGTTGGGTGCTATTAACCATGTTTTCTTTTCGTTGAGTTTTGGATAGCCCTGCTGAAGGAGTTAAACGAGGCCGTTCCCCTCGACCACAAACTAAGAGAACCTCCCCTCCTCCACGGTATGTTAACTTTTTTCATTGGGTTAAAAGATGGACCTTTTCCTTTTCTTTTGTCCATTGTTTCAATAATTAATGTATTTTAATACTGGAGACTAACCATCTTATGTAATTAATCTGCCATTGTGTCTTTTGCTACTCTTCCTTCTCAATTTTAATCTTCTCCTGGGATGCATTCTTCTTATAAATGAATCTATGCTGTATTAAAGTTTTGATACATGAGGGTGAAAACTATCTGACCACTGAACCACATCTAAATTTAATGTTCATTAAGCTTTGTGCTCCGGTATTGTTCTTTTTCTGTGCATGTACGACCATCATGCACTTGTTATACATTATATCCTTAGTTTGCGTATTCTATATAGATTTATCAGAGTAGTACTATGCCACAATTAACTTGTCTTGTGACTAACATTATCATGTAAGGTTAATTGATATCTTCAGTTGGTGATGTTTTGCTGGTATTTGCATTCCCATGTACGAGATTCCAGTCATTTGGAATAAAAGAACAAAAAGACATGTGACTTGAATTAAATTTCCTGTTTTACGGTGTTATTGCTATAAGGACCCGTTGCTTTACAATTTCCAACATCATTTTTCTTCTATTTTATATGCACGAAAGTATTCTTTGCAGCTACAGTGTTCTTACGTGTTATGTAAGATTTTTCTCTAGTCTCCCCTTGTTTCCTCAATCTTCATTTTTTTTTTTTTTTTTCATATCTTTGGTTCTATAACTGTAGTAGATCATATATGTAGCAATATTCCTGTTCTTACCTGTAATCTGTCTCCAGGAAAGCTTCTCCTATTCCTGAATCTCTTGTGCTTCACGTTGATCAGCTTAGCAGGAATGTGAATGAGGGCCATTTGAAAGAAATATTTGGTATGCTTGCATTATTAACTGTACATTGTCATGATATAAGCTACTGTCCATATGGTGATATACATTCACATTAGCTCAGGCTAATTATCTATTTTTCGTGATTTTAAGGCTATGTACTATTGCTTTACCTTGTTACTTTCACAGGTAATTTTGGTGAAGTGTTGAATGTACGACTAGCAATTGACCATGTTGTAAGCTTTCCGGGCCCCTATATCCATTCTGATCTTAGAAAAAGCTGTATAAATAATAAATCCTTTGATTTTGATGTCATTTTATTTGCAGGTCAACCTTCCTAAAGGATTTGCGTACGTGGAGTTCAGAAATAGAGCCGAGGCTGAAAAAGCCCAGCTATACATGGATGGTGTATGATTTTATTCTTACTCATCTGATCCTTTAGTTTGCAGTTCAACTTCTCCATCCAATTGTTTTGTTCAGGCTCAAATCGATGGCAAAGTCGTGCGGGCCAAGTTCACCTTACCTGAAAGAAAGAAGATTCCTTCTCCCTCTAAGGCCGTTGCCACCACATCAAGGAGAGATGGACCAAAATCTGAAGACGCTGCTGCTGCAGATGGCGAGAAAGATGGGGCGCCAAAGCGGCCCAGAGAAGGTAAGAGATCTCTTCACAGAAATGCTAACTGAAATATGTGTGTTTTCTTTCTCTTGCCAAGCTTATTTTGTTTATGCAAAATTATGAATGATGTTATTACTATTAGCATCCCCTCGAAGGAAACCTCCCTCCCCACCTCGAAGGAGATCTCCCATAGCACGAAGAGGATCTCCCAGGCGGGGCCCACCAGATTCTCCCCCACCTCGTAGGCGTCAGGATTCTCCTCCTCGCCGGAGGCCCGATTCTCCTTACAGAAGAGGTGGTTCCCCACCTCCAAGGCGAAGGCCGGGATCACCTGCTGCCAGAGGCCGTTCGCCATCTTCTCCTCCGAGGCGTTTCCGTTCGCCCGCAAGGTTCGATTTTCGTATTGTGCTTCAAATTGCTGTGCGTGTTTTTTGTTATTTGCATTGGCATCATTTTTTATTTTATTTTATTTTATTTTTTTTTTTTGCGTCGTATTTTGAGCAGGGGATCTCCAAGAAGGATGCGCGGAGGAAGTCCTGTTCGCCGGCGATCTCCTCCACCAAGACGAAGGTGATAAATTTTCCAATTGCTGTAATAAAATATTATTTCTCTATAGTATATGTGCATTTCTGTTTCTTGAATGAGTCGATGAGTGAGACATGAAAAAAAATATATGACAGTAATTATCTCTTATTCTTTACTTTTGAAGATTGTTGGGCCGAAAAGATCCTCATTTTTCTTGAAAGTTCACTTTTGATTGTTGTTCTGCATTCTCTTTTGCTGTGGAACATGATACGGGAAAAATTGTACCATCCACCAGTATATAATTTGTATATTCTCAATTGTCTTATAGAAATGGAATGTTTGGCATCTTTAAGTATGTGCAAATATATTGAGGCTGTATTTGAGTGTTTATATGTGGAGTTTTGGTTTAAATTTTTGTTTTTAACTGATTTTCTTCAGGCAACTTTTCACATAAATCCTTGTATTTTGGTTTGAAAGAGATCTTATGAGGCATAATATGCCTTCACATGCCATACTAGTACTCGTTATTTCAAAGATGAATTAGTTTGAAAGTGCTTTCCATAAGTAAAGTTTTTTAAATCTACCCCATGGAGAATATCCATGACCATTAGATGTCATTGCCCCATACTATATTGAATTTTACACCATTGCTACTGCTGGTGCACTTTTATTGTGTATAGACTATTGTCATGGTTGCTAGTTGTTTCCACGCACAAAACATTTGTAAAGTCTTATCGTTGTGAAGGTTGGTAGTAGCTATCTAAGAAATTTTGTAATGAGCTTAGGTCCCCAAGACGTGCTCGAAGTCCTCCACGAAGGTCTCCTATTGGTCGCCGACCACGCAGTCGCTCCCCTGTGAGGAGGCCACCTCGTTCTCCATCACGATCCCCCTCTCCAAGGAGGTGAAATGCAAACAATTAATTGTATTCATTTTTTTAATATTGTTTTCATAGATCTATATTTGTTGAGTTAGCTATTATTATTATTATTATTATTATTATTTTTTTTTTTATTTTTATTTTTATTTTTATTTTTTTGATATAGACTCATGTTATCCTGTGTGCAGAGGCCGGGGCCCACCACCTAGACGTGGTAGACAATCTTATTCTTCATCACCTAGCCCACGCAGGGTCTGTATCTCTTAATAATAATCCCTTATCGGTATATTCTTTCTGGTTGGGTGTCTTAACACAAGTACTTATGCTGAAATAAAATCCATTGCAGGGACCTCGCAGGGTATCAAGGAGCCGTAGTCCTAGGAGGTACTTTCATTTTTTATTTTACTTTATGTTTCTTATCCTTTCCTAATTATATATAATCACATGAAAATTCCTTTCTAATGAGCATTTTTTTTTTTTAATTTTTATTTATCCTTATTTGCCATTTTTTACATAATTATGGTTTCATTTCAGGCCCGTCAGAGGTAGAAGTCCTAGCAGCAGCAGGAGCAGGAGCAGGAGCAGCAGCAGGAGCACGAGCAGCTCACCCCCTCCAGCCCGTAAGCCTTAAATCAGTAGACGAGTTAAAAGCCTGAGAGAATAGTGTGTCGTGATGTGTTTGGGTGAGGCTCAGCTCAGTTAACTGGCTGGTTTTAGAATCTATTGCAACCTATATTTTGGATTTTATCTTTTTTATAGCGTGCATTTTGTTTACTGATAAAGGATGTGCGTGTATCAAATTGCTTGCTTGCTTGACGAAACTTTGATGCCTTAACTATGTTGTAACGAAAACGTGGCAGTCTTTTTTGTACATTTGTCGTGTGAAATACTTGAATCCTGACTTTCTGAAATTTTCTAGTGGAATGAGACCATAATAATATTTAGATTCATTTATTTTCTGTTGCATCATGATAAATCTCAAATGCAAAAGAGAGCTTCTGGGAAATTGAATTTGTATAAGGGCAAAAGTTCATTGCCTTTCTTTTGTTCACATTTTGATAAATGTGGGTACCAACGAATCACAAGTAACACTGTCCAATACTAAGAAATATTGACTTATTATTTCCGACTTTTCAGTATATAATTATTTGCTAGCTGATAAAAATGTCATCCATGCAAAGATTTGAGTTCATGTAGCTGGTAGCTTATTCCAGACTACCTGAGCTCTCTTGCAAGTGAAAAGGATGTGCTCCAAGTTTAGTCCACGTCCCCACAAAAGCTGCAAATGATATCAACTTGAACTCCGATTTTCTTAAGTTGATCTTGCGAAGCTAAAAACCTGTGCCAACATCTCCAATTGAACATCTTAATTTTGTTTTTTACATTCAAACCCCAAGTTCGTATCCAATTTTTTTTCAAAATTTTTATATTTTTACTTGTTTACTTGTACCTCACACCTAGATTAAGCACGTGCCTAACACTCGGCCAAGATTTCCATAACCAATAACCTGAGTGTTTGGGAGAGACCTCCATTAGTTTTTAGTCATGGAAATACTTACCCTTCAAGACTGCTAATCAAAAAAATTCTTTAATGAGCATGCCAGATTTTTGAACCTAAACCCCCAGAATCTTTAGGCATAAGTATCATATCCTTTATCTCCTGACAAATTCCTATGTGGACTCTGAAAACAAGACATTACATAGATAGGTAAAACATTAATCACAGTTTTATTCAGAATATTTCTCTCGGCCTCACTCAATAAATTATTTTTCCAATTTGAAACTTTGGAAATGACACTTTCTGAAACAAACTTAAATGTATCAATCTTTGATCAAATACCCTTGGGGAGCCCTAAATATTTAGAAGAATTGACCGACATTATCCCTTCAAAAACTTGGCAGATCCCAACCTTAGTTTCATCGTGAGTATTCTTTAAAAACAGAATAGAAGAATTGTTGACAACAAGTTGCCTAGAGGCTTGGCCAAAACTGAGTAAAGTATTGTTCAAAATTCTAGTATTAACCATATTAACTTTGCAAAAAATTATTGAATCATCAATAAAAAAGAGGTGGGTGATGGTTAGAGCGAAATTGTCAATTTTAACACAATAAAAATTTAAATTCAAAGAAGTTGCGAAAGAGACCGTTTGGAGCAGCAGATGCGAAGAGGCTGTTTGGATACGGAACTTCATCCAAAGGTTGGTGTAGTCCTGTCTATTGTGACAACAATGGGGCTATAGAGCAAGCGAAAGAGCCAAAATCTCATCAAAGATCCAAACACATTATGTGACGATACTACCTGATTAGAGAGATCATTAGTATAGACGACATCATTGTGGATCAAGTCGGTTCAGCAGAAAATGTAGCAGACCCCCTGACTATGCCCTTTGTCACAAAAAGCGTTTGACGTAAATCTTGAGAGGATTAAAACTAGGACAAGTGGGAGAATGTTAGAGTAGAATACCTTCATATGTTTGTTAATAAATAATTAATTTCATTAATTAACAAATAAAAGAAAATGGACTCGTGCCGGATCATTTTCTCAAGAATAAACCCAAGTATACTGAAAACATTTGAAGTTGGTCAAGCGTTTGGGCCATTTAATTCCGGTCCATTTACTTCCACACTTACTAAAAAACCCTAATGTTTGAACATTCTACCCCAAACTGCCGATATATAAGCCAATGCCCCTGCTGAGAACCCTAGTTCATACGGCTTAACTTGAGCTCGCCTCCATCTCCACACGCAAAATGGTGAAGTTCCTGAAGCCAAACAAGGCGGTTATCATTCTCCAGGGGCGGCACGCCGGTCAGAAGGCCACCATCGTGAAGAACTTCGACGATGGTACGCGAGACCGTCCCTACGGCCACTGCCTCGTCGCCGGCATCGCCAAGTATCCGAGCAAGGTGATCCGCAAGGACTCGGCTAAGAAGCAGGCCAAGAAGTCGCGCGTGAAGGCCTTCGTCAAGGTGGTCAATTACAACCACATCATGCCCACGCGCTACACCCTGGACGTGGATCTCAAGGACATCGTCACCGCAGACTCTCTGGTCTCACGCGATAAGAAGGTTACCGCCTGCAAGGAGATCAAGGCGAGGTTCGAGGAGAGGTTCAAGACCGGCAAGAACCGTTGGTTTTTCTCGAAGCTAAGGTTCTAAGTGTAAGAAGCTATGGAGGTTAAGTTTGTGTTTGACTTCTGTTCCAGTGTTGGCTTTATTTTATTGGAGTTGTTTATGGGTTTTCTGATGATATTCAAATGAACAGGGGTGATTTTGTTATGGAATGTCTTCTATATTTTTACATATTTCTCTTGTTGTTGGTCTAGATTTGAACTTCTTGAGCAGGAATAGTTTTGTTCTTGAACGCCTTTTGCTTGTTCTAATGATTGATGCTATATTTTTTTTCACTCTTGTGGAGTTTGGTAATGAGTTATATGTACCTATTGTTAGTATTAAATACGACGAGTCATTTTATTTGGTGTAAAAGTTTCTGTAAGTCTAATTATGCAATCTGACTGCATAATTGTTATTTATGCTGAAAGAACAGAAATGAATCTGAAAACAATCAAACAGGATGATAATTGATTTACCATGCGAGTCATTTGACTTGTTCCACGAGTTTCTATAGTTTGGCTTATACAATCTGTTAGGATAATTCTTGTTTGTTGAAAATAAAAAACAACTGAGGAGAATTTGATTGAATCCGGGCACATTTTATATTCACTCGTGGAGGTTCTAGTTAGTTCCTATTTTTTTTTTTTTTTTCATTTTTTAAATTGGTTCCATATTGGGAGTTTGAAGATTTAGTAGTTTTAGCTGCATATGCTCAATGAAGTGATATGAAATCTCCTTATGGTTTCATGTGCGATATTAATCTTCTGATATCTATGCATTGCCACAAATCTGATTTGTTTGTTAAATGATTGTTTGAACTAATGTTTGTCCCATCTACTTTTGTTCCAACACATTTACACTTATACTGCCTGGAAGATCCTTGGCAGCATGTTGGAATATGTTCTTTTGTTATGTGTTAGATCATACTTCTACCCTTTCAAGTGAAAAATGACCAAAAATTTGAAAACTTGTATGGAATTCGTTCATCCCGTTATTAGGGGTTACTGTTTGCAATGTAATAGACTTTGAAAGCCAATTAAGTTATGAATGACTCCATAAGGGAGCCATATAAAATTTCTGTGTAGTTATACATGTTTCCTTTGTTAGCAAAATTTGACTATCCTAAGGTTCAGTGTCTTACATGTTAATGGGTTATAGTTCATATTACATTCAAATGCCATTTCAGATGGCAATGGCATTTGAACATGCCAGACGTGAGTTATTTATTATTAATATTTGGCAATGGACACTCTAATTGGATATGCTTGTTGAAGTATGCAATCACCCGGTTTTGCTATAGAGTAATCGGATGGTTCGGCTTATAGAGCCATCCATAGTTAACCACAAATGGTGTATTGACACGTGTCCTGCAATAAATACACATTGGACACATGTCAATACATAAAAGGTTATGGATAGCTCCATAAAGCAACCATCCGATGACTTCATAGAGTTAGTGTACAATCACCACCTTATGGGTATTTATTTCTTAATTATTATTATTTAATATATTAATTAAAGTTAAGTGATTCCTTATTCTTGTTGGACCAGTGACCTCTTTCATTCCTCCTTTCTTTCAAATGGAAAATTTTCACCTTTGTGGTATGGCTATGTATCTCCATTGTCCAAAAATGTTCTTCTGTCAATTCACAACTTAAGTTCAATTGTGTTGTTGATCGACCTTGAATGGGTATCGTTGTTTTCTACTTTTCTTCATTGTCTATATCCCATTCTACTGAAAACTACTTTTCTTCATTGTCTATATCCCATTCTACTAAAAGCTAAGGTAACCTGTGGCATGTCTGGTTGGTACTTGGTAATGTGATTTGTCATCTTAATGATGTTGTCTGCAGATGTTCGGATTTGCGTTTTTGCACATAATTACTCTTTCTTTGTATATGAATGACTATTCAGAAATTGAATATACATAATTAGCTAGAAAGAAAAAAAAAATATTTAAATGTGATAATGATAGAGAAATGATAATAGTTGTGCATTAATAAAACAGTACATAAAAGCTCCTGCGAAGAGAACCTATTGAGCTAAAACATAACCAAAATAACAAATGAATCAATACCCTCATGTACACATGCATAAGCTACACGCATAGCCAACCAACCTAATGATCTATGTGTCGTACAGAAGTGGAAAGGGTCATATTTGTTCTCTTATCAAAAACATATGTCGAGACAGCAGCAGCAACATAGACCTGCCAAACTGTAACATGGAAAAAAATTAGATCAAACATTTATGATGCATGCGTAGAATAGTATTTTAGGTTTGAGATATTACCATCCTTTGAAAAAGCCGTCTCCTTTACTAGTTGTCTCGAGTGGGACATTCTCTAGTTGAGTATTTTCCTTAGTGGGATAACCAATTGGTGGTGGTGGCATCACATACGGACCATTATAGCTATCAGTTGTAACTGCTGGCGGAGGATAAGATGTTGGGGGTGCCGGATATGCAACTGCATCGAGGCAAATCATAAGAGTTTTAGCCGATACTAATCATCGTTCGGAAAAAAAATTAGGAAGTCAATTATATGTTATTGTGGTATACACACATTTGCTATTGTATGATCAAAACTTACCCGGAGCTTGGTTGTGTTTGCCGTAGATGTTCATGGCTTCTTGGTGAGTGCAAGTGTTGGAAAAAATTGGTGTAAAGGATGAATGAATGATATGAATTGAGATTGGGTGGGTTCATCTTGGATTTTTATATAGAGGTTTAATTGATGGTTTGTTGTTTGCGTGTGGGTTAAGGAGATTGATAGAGTCGGTTGTCATACGCACAAGGAAAATTCTCTGTGTGTGTCTCAGCAAAGCGTGTTTTATTTATTCA